GGTGTTCATTCATGGTCGTTGAACTAAATCTTGGCATATTGCTCCAGCTTACTCATGTCCTGCATTTGAAAAGGCCCGAAATTTATGGGGATGTATTTAAATGCAGTTAAAGCTCTTTTCTTACTGGAGAATTTTGCTTACAGTTGTATTTTTAAAAATTAACCATCTTAGTGTCTGATGGTCTCTATACTTCTTTTGGCAGTAATCCAGTCCCTCATAGCACTGGTGAATGATCCACAGCCCGAGCATCCCCTCCGGGCTGACCTAGCTGAAGAATACTCTAAGGACCGTAAAAAATTCTGTAAGAACGCTGAAGAGTTTACAAAGAAATATGGTGAAAAGCGACCAGTGGACTAATCTGACACAACTGCTGTCAACAACGTATGATAGAAGATCGGAGCAGTGCATTTGAGACACCCAGTAAAGCAGGACTCTATGGAAAATTGACAAGTGCCACCTTTCGGTGTGAACTTGTGGCTGTTACTAACTTTCTACAGTTTTCTTAATCAAAAGTGGGCTAGGTAACCTGTAAAGAAAGGATTAAAATTTAAGATGTTCTAGTTCTGCTTTCTTTGTTTAAAAATCACTGCTTCAATATACTTTAAAGTACGCTGTTTTCTTTTTCTTGTCAGAATTTATCAAAAGTATCTTAGACTTATATTCTGCCCTTAAATTGAAAAGGTTGTGGCTGTCATTTCTTATTTTTCCTTGCAGTTCCCACTATCTCGAGTTCATTCACTGAATTTTAAAGCCCCTCCTCAAAGTGATGTCTTAGGAAAAATATCCCAGTTCTGGCAGAAAATGAGTGTTTGGCAGTTTTGTTTACTTTTCTTTTTAAATGTTGCACTGTGCTTTGTGGGACTTGTTACAAGGTCCCCTGAACTTCAGTTTGTAACATAATAAACAAAAACCAACCCAACCCCACAAAACCAATCAAAAATAATGTCTGGGTCTGATGTAAATCTGGCCAATGTCTATTAAACGGGGAAACCCAAGTTTTTGTGTGCGTCATTGAATTAGAATGTGGCTTATGTTCTGCTTTTGGAATACTCTGGGGAAAAAATCTGTAGCAAACAAGTAGTGGAATGCGATTGCAAATTTCCTTCACTTCTATCCTTAATACCTATGCAGAGTAGCAGCAATGTGCACAGAACAACATTGCAACCAATCCAGGAGAGTGTCAGAAGCTGAGGACCAAGAGGTATCTAAGCGATAAACTGGTTTTTTGAGTTTAAAATTGGTATTTTGGAGATGTTCATTTTGAGTTCAGGAACTAAACCTAACAGCACTGCTGTCATCTCTGAACATTTTCCATCAGAATGCATAAGAAACACCCATGTTTATGGGGTGGCACTTGTGCCCCTTCCCAGCCCCTCTGCTGCCAGGTTCTGAACAGCACTGGAGCAAGGACAGGGCTGAGCAATAAGGTAGGAATGTGCTTTGCTGCTGCTGCTCCTGTGTTTAAACACACGGGTTGGGTGATTCAGTGTGTTCAAGTGTCATTCTGGCATTGTGGCTTAATCAGGCAGAGCTGTTTGCCAGTTGCTCTGGGGTACTCCTACGCAAGCCTTTTCTGTTCAGAACTGAGCATCCTTGGCTGTGTCCCTGCTGCTTGTCACCTGCCTTCTCTCCCCAGTCCAGTCTGATTTGTAGCTCCACAGTCAAACTGCCACACAGTCAAACTGCCGTGTCCTCCCTACTCTCCAGCTGGGGTCTGTTACTGAGCAAATGGATTATCTCCAGAAATCCATCGGTATCTGGGAGCACATATCATTTTGATGTGCAGGAAGCTGAGTTAGAAAATCCCTGACACCTGGGTGGTTGCCTGTTAAATTCAGTTTTAATACAGCCTCTGCCTTTGCAACCTTTCAGAACTAGTGTGTCAAGCAGTAAGTCTCTCTTGGTTGTAATGTCTTGTGTATTTGCTATTCCCTCATTCATCCCTCTCATCTGGCTTTCATTTCTGATTTAGTGTAATCAATGACAGCCCCGTACCTCACCTCTGTTGAAAGTAATTTTTTTTATAAGTTAGGGAGCTAAGAAATTTTAAGTTTAAGTGTTCTTAGACTGATTTTTTGGCAGGTAAATAAAGTTAAACCACATTCACCTTATATACAGAAACTTGCATTTCCTAAGTGTTTTCAGGCTTGTGAGAGCACTACTACCAAATTTTCACATCTTTGTGTCTTCATTTGCAGAAAGTTGGTACCGATTCTATTTCATTCATGCTCACTTGGACTCATAATAAAATAATGCCAAATTATCTGTCAAACTGAAATATGTAACTTCCACATCACCTGAGTTACTGTACCTTTGATCATGTCTGTTGGCATGGAAACGTACCATTCTCTAAATTTTATTTTGAAACAAAACTGTAGCACTAGTTTGCTGCCCTCGTTGCTACTCAGTAGTTACTCTGTGGTTGTAAAGCCTCTCAGGTCAAAGACTGCTTCTGTCTGCATCACTGTGACTCAGATGCCGTTGGAAGGGAAGGGGAGGGCTGTGTGATCCAAGGAACTCGAGTCACGCAGTGCTGCACCAGCCATTCCGGTTCCAGCAGCAGAGGTCACAAGGAAGACAGATCCTGCTATCAGTTCTCTTGGTGTGTTCTCCATAGTCCAGTTGCTAAACTGCGAGATGTGTAACCCAAGTGCTGATGCTGTCTGGGGGCAGCCTCTGAATAAAGGGATCCAACACTGTTGTGTGGCTGAAGTCTGAGGAGAAGAAATCCAAGTGCGAAGTCCTATTTAACTCAGGAAATCCAGCTCTTGTTCTTTCTGGTTCCCTAAGCCATGCTGAATTCTAAATGTGCAGTTGAACATCTACAATAAAAGCAGCACACTGGTGAAACTACACCCAGGAGTACTGGTATAGGCTTTCTGCAAGTCCATTCTGCTACCCTAATAAAAATTGCTCTCAAAGGCTTTGTGGCATGGTTTTATTTTCAGAGAGGTCTGGGGGTTAACTGGAATCTTAGTATCGTTTGTAATTGGGACTTGGGTTGCCTTTAAAGCTTTCATAGAACCACTGAGAAACTTTCTTATCTCCCTACCTGCAATTGAAAAGTTCCCTATTTAGAAGTCTTTTGGTATTCTTTATTCATTTCTCCAATTAAATGAAAATTTGGAGTTTAATGCTTTTCATTTACATTTTGTCTTTGCAGTGCAGTGTTTGGGTACTGCTGCTGTCAGGTTCTAGTGCTCAGCTGCCAGGAAATGCCTCCAAAATTCAACAGGTGTGTAACATCCGGTTGGTTGTGATCAGGGCAAATTCGGTGGTTAGAACATGAAGCAATTTAAATCTTAAAAATTGCCATGAAAACACTGGATGACATTCCATGACCAGCTGAACTCCATCCCGTCACGGCGGTTGCAGTGATCCTGGCGGGCGCTGGGCGGCGGTGGTGGGTGGGGCCGCTAGGAGCGCGGGTTTGTCCCCACTGGAAGAACCCATGGAATAGCGTCATCCCAAAAGGTAACAACTGCCCTGGTCGGACCCAACTTGGAGTGTTTTTAAAAACAAACTTGTCATGTATCTAATTAATTCTCTCACAATAATTTAGGAAAGAATCTGGAAAATATTCTCTACAGCATCCTTGTTTTTCCTATTTGTACAGGACAAAAATGTCCTCAAATGTGTTACAGGGAAGGTCAGATAGTTCTCATTAAGGATGGAAAGGCAGTGGAAACCTGGAGCTCCCAGGCAGCCACAGGGAGAGCAGAAAGGTGGGTGGGTTTAGTTTACTCACCACCTGTAACCAAACCCAAAAGCCTCCTGAAGCACTGCAATAGAAAAGGCCTGAGTTTATTTTTCATTTAAAAGAATGATGATCATATTGACATTTTTAATATTAAAAGACATGGTTAGCAAAACTGATTACATTAAATGGATCACTTATGTGCAGAAAATGAGCATAAACAATCTAAAATAATTTCTCCCCATGTGAAAGTTCTATGGGAGTGACAGAGCTGCAGTTAAGAGCCTTAAGCGTTCCTGGGACTTACTGGAATTCACATGCTTTGGTGGTAGGGATGAATGGGACAGATACAGGGACCTTGGCCCCTTGCAGACCTGCTTGTAGCTGTCACAGGGCCACCCCTGTGTTTGTCTTGAGGGGCATTGGGCGGGACAGGATCAGTTGCTGCTGCTCTTGTACACAGCAGTTACTGAAATAGCAGATGTGTCAACAGTTGCTGTTCTTGCAGTCATCCAAAAAATAAGAAAGCCTCTCTGAAAGGGCTGTGGCCAATGTTACTTTACTATGGGAGCTTAATGCCAAGAGGCAATGTAAATAGACAGGGACAAAATTACTGCTGGCTGAAGTGGATCCTGAAAAGGCTGCAGATCCCACCGGGCCACGTGTATTATCTGAGTGCTCTGAGCAGAGGAATGCTCTGAAGGTGATGTGCCCTGCACCCCCTCCCCACCTATGAGCAGGGATGAGTGGAGGGGCAGGGACCACGACTGAGTGCTTTAGAAAAAACAAATGCTGATGGTTTCCAGGCCTCCCATAACCTACACCAAGAGCAGCACCTGCTCCTCCAGCATGTTTATTTTTTTGCCATTAAGTCCGGAAAGAGAAATGATGGTACGCCTCAGGGTGCTGCAAAGTGTCTCACAACACAGCACATCTCTGTGCTGCTCCTTCGTTGGCAGGAGCTGAGCCCTGGGAGGCAGCTGGGCCTCGGCCCCTGTGCTGCACTGCGTTGGGGTGTCATAGAAGGGATATGTCACATACAGAGCAGATGCTGTGGCCTAAAAACTGGCAGTCGTGGCTCTGGGGCACTGCCTGGAGCTGCTCGCAGGGTATTGCTCTTCCATTCCCAGGCTGTTCACAGCTCCTGTCAGCTGTGCCAGGGAGTGTGACACTGGTAACAGTGTCTGTTCTCTGGACACCAGCAACTACCTGGCTTCAGAGAATGGATGGATGGATGGACAGACGGATGGATGGATGGATGGATGGATGGATGGATGGATGGATGGATGGATGGATGGATGGATGGATGTCTGCTCATTTATTTAAAGATCTTTGAATGAACACAGCTGAATGTTCCTGCTTTTGTAATGGCTCTGCAGCTCCGGCTTAATTAACGTCTGGAGTTCATGGAGGCGCTCCCAGGACTGGGAGAAATCATCTGGTCCTTCCCCACAGCCACCAATAGGTGGGACACTGGGGTACCCCGGGTGCACCATCAGTTCAATGGTCACTGTCCTGCTCTGCAGTGCTGAGTGTGCAGGCGAGGGCACACTGGATGTGACCTCCAGGATGGCAGAGTTGATGGCGCTCCAGATGCTGCTCACAGACATGTTCTTGCCCATGGTGCTCAGGCCTATATAAATGTCAGGCCACCTGGAGCCAGGGGAGGGAATACTGATATTAATGCTAACGAGGTAGGTAGAGAACTCTGTTATGCCCAGTCGATTAGGAATCAAAATTTACCTGTAATGTAAGACTGAAAAGGGGGAGGGGGATTTTAAAACTTTTAAGCAAAAGTAAAAACAGAACCTCAAGCCAGTCATGCTTTCTCTTTCCTTATTGAAACAAGGATCCTATTTCCAGCATCAGCCCTGCTGCTGGGAGAGTATTGACATACACTGTGTCACAGCACGAGTTGTTTGGTATCTGTGAGCTTACAGGTGCATTTTATTGGCCCAAAAGGGACAAGCAGAGCTAAACTGAAAAATGCCACACTATCAAAATAAATAATGTCCAGTCTTCGCGAAAGAAGAACCGGGGAAGGTCTTTACACCTTGCAGCCTGCACATTGGATTTTTTAGGTGAGACACAGTGTGCGCGGAACTGAGCCCACCCTCTAATCCTAAAGTTCATCTGCTGGGGCCAAGCGAGCTTGGACGGTGGCAGCGAGGTCCTCAGGACGTAGATGGATTGCCTTACAGGGCTAACAAGCTCCATCTGCCCGGGGAGTGGCCCCGACCGGGAATCGAACCCGGGTTTTGGCGTTGACAGCGCCGCGGCTTAACCACTGCACCACCAGGGGCACTCCACTATCAAAACAACTTACACCTGAAGAGTAACCCTCAGGTAAGTAGAAACAAAAGTACTGAAATAAATGGAAACCACTCAGCTAAAGAAGCATTCTGCCAGAAGGTATCAAAGAGCCATAACTGGACAAAATGTTACTCCTAGAGGACAGCTACAGGCTGGTTCTTAGTAGCTTCAACACAGATCTTTTTTCTTCAAGTCTGGCTGCAAACACTGGCCATAGCGCAGCCTGAACGAGCCAAAGGGGGCTGAGCCAAATGCATGTGAGGGCAGAACGGGAACGTTTTTGGAAGAAACCAAGGCTGCAGTTTTTACCTGCATGATCAAAGGAGAGCCTAGCTGAACACTGGGCTCTTCTTGAAAAGAGTTTGTAGGACTTAGCAGAAGAATTTTAAGTATGAATATAGTACCCTCGCCGACACCTCGCTGCTGTGCAATGTGTGCTCTCCAGCATCTCAAGCCGGCTCCAGGAGCTCAGCGCAGTCCTGCTGCACAGGTGCTGAAGTCGAGTTGCAGCACTGAGTTCCCCGAGATTTCAGCCCCCCGCGCTCTTGGCATTTCCCTGGGTTTCCACCGTTCATGTTTTGGTAAGAGCTCGTCCCTCCTCGCCTGCCCCATCGACGGAGCTTGGCGGATTAAAACGCGCAGGTCCCGGGGTGGCCCCGCCGGTTCCCACCTCCCCGGAGAGGCGGCTCTTGGGGGTTCCCGGGCAGCCCCGGGCGTGCGGGGTTTCCACCGCGCTGTCCCGATGTGGACCTGACCGAAAGGTGCGTTAGTCTCCTGCTGAACTGCGCTGTGAGTTGCTGTGCCCTTCCTTCCCTTAGAAACAGGCTGGAGCATGGCCCGCAGGCTCTGGAGGGATGGGGCAGGGTGAAATGCCAGCCTGCTGCTGGTGTTCAGGACAACTGATACTAAAAAAATTAACCAAAAAAATTACGTTTTCAGTGGACTAAGAAATTAACAAAATCTGCCCCAAAGGACAGCTGACTGCAGGGGTCTCAAGTGAAATGTCTTTAATCCATAAGGCACTAAGCTTTTAAGAAAAGTATGTTATCGAGGGAAAGGCTGAGCTTTTCAGACTTGGCCCCTGAGGTGCAAGACAGACAAGGCTGTTTGCTTAGAGCAGTGACTGCTAGCTGTGGCACTGCAAGCTCTGAGCTTCTTGCTTCTCCTTAATGACAAACACTTGTTTCTAATTAGTCTCTTTCCTGCTACTTAAAACCCTTTCTTCATTCTGCCAGGTAGATGAAGAGTTATTTCTTGAAACCTTTCCCTAGATCATACTTTTAATATTCCAGTGTTGATGCAGCATTTCTCCTGCCATCCCAGATGCTAGGCTAATGCAGCTTCACTAGGAAGGCTGAGAAACATCCCCTTTTCAAATGGGAAGTGAGTCATCTCTGTTGAAACAAAACTTCCTAAGCCCTAGTGCCCCTGGCACTTTTGTACTCCTCCTGAATCTCTCTGTAAGCCCAGAAGCGGAAAGAGAAAGGCGGTGTTCCACTTTTGAAGTATACTATCAGGAACTGATAAGATCCTTAAGTTTTACTACAAAAAGGATGGGTAATGCCTGTCTTACCTTATTCCATGCTTTGTAAACACATCCACTGTGTTAAAAGAATCTTCTTCTACTCCCAGATAAAAGTCCATCAGAGCTCGTGGAATCCAGTCACAGTTATGAAGGCCTGGCTCTACTGGGACACGTGTGTACTTAATCCCATATTCCTCTAACACCTCTGCAAACACGTGCCTGACCTCTGCAAGTATAACCAGGGACAGTATAGTCAGGAATTGCATAACCAGCTCATCATGTCCCCTGTGAGATGTTAGCACAGAGGCTCCTTTCCTTACTATGTTCAATACAATAAAATACCATTTGGTTTATCTTCTGCTGAAATGGTTTTCTTCATCTGGAGAGGAAGATATCTTCTATACTGGAAATATTTCTCCCTCACCATCTACTGTAGGTGCCTTGCAGTTTTTTCCTTCAACACTGAGCACTTAGTCCATCCCCACTTCTAAGTGAGTGACTCTGGTCTCAGAGTACACCAGAGGTGACTGCGCTGTCAGGAAGTCCCTGCACAGCCAGAGCAATGTTATCCAGAGGCAGTTTAGAACTGGTGTGAGGAAACCTGCATTCTTTTTTCACTCAGTTTTCCATATCTGTACCATAGTGACCTTATTTTCAAACCAAGGACAAAAGGTACTCACTCATCTCTTAAACATGCTAGGACCTGTGGGCAGGGACTGGGATAGACACAACTGACAGGATGGAGCTTTTGCTAACTGTGGAACAAGTGTCTTACAATGAGGTTTATTGCTCAAACAGGGAGCTGTGGCAAGGGGAGGCCCCTCTTGAGTGACTCTGACTCCCTCACCTGCTTGGCACTGAGAAGAGGAGGATTTCCTTCTCACCTGGGAGAACGTGGACGTGCTGGTGCCCATCCATGTGAGGAGGTAGGTGACCTGTCAGCTCACGGAACAGCTCCACCTGGGCCTTTAGCTCCTGCTTCACCTGTGCCACAGAGAAGGGACAGAGCAAGACCTGTCAGGAAGCTGAGAGCAGGAGAGTGGAGAGGCTGCTGAGGATATCACTGGCCAGAAGTTGGGACTGGCCCCTGGGAGACACCAAGTGCTGTGATTATAAATGAATTAAATGGATGTGCAGCTCTGCTGGGTTTCCCAGAGCCTCTCCCAGGCACGGGGCTCTTTGTGGTACTAGTCATGGGGATTGTGCTGATACTGGGATTTTCTAAAATACCTAGGGCATTTGAATAGCCATTTCCCTTTAAAATGAATGGGGAAATGGGTGCTCATATCCCATAGGCAGTTTTGATCACCTGAACGTTTGTCCATGCTCACGGGGCAAAACCACTGATCTCCCTAGAGAACAAAAGCCTGTCACAAGCAGATGAAAAGCATAGTGCCTACTCTGTCATTTGCCCTTTAGCGTTCTCTAGGTTATTTAGTAAATACAAGTTCCAATGCCTTTTCTGCCCCCTCAGATAAGTAGTTAACAGGACATTACTGTATGCAGGCACTGAAATGGGGAGGAATGCGTTCTCATAGGCTGCAGAGCCTTTGGCTGAAGGAGGCCGATGTCCTGGAAAGCCATCTCCAGCTGCACAGGCAGTACAGTCAAGAGTCATCTCTAAGCTTACTCACAGCTGGGATCTGGGAAATTTCTTCAGCTGTTATGTGCTGGGATAAGTGCAGGCTGACCTTTACCAGGAAAGCAAGTTGCAGGGTTGTATGTGGCTTTCTCCTACCTCTGACATATTCAGGAGACCTCTTGATAGAGCTGTTCTGAATCCCATTTTTCCATGGAAGAATCCATCTTGGTTGAGCAGAGAGGAGTTTGTCTTGAGTACCTCACACACAGGGGAGCCCTCAGAAAGGTTGGCATGAAGGCCTATTGGGATGCTGTATCTGTAACAAGAATGAAATACCTGTTAAACTTTGCACCTCCCTTAATGTGGCCAAGGTGGGGGGGTGGGGAGAAGATTTCAGTGAAAGAACTACACTGATCTCAAAAGTGTTGATGTACTCACTGGAGCACACCTTTGTATTTCTGCTCTGCTAGAAAGAAAAGCACAGTGACCCTAACCAGAGCAGAATATCTCCAGATAACAACCCTGTGCAGTTTGTGAGACGTCCCAACTCTGCTCCCACCCTGGCTCACATCATGAGGTACTCTGGGCTAAATGTTGTAACTACACTTAGTAACTGCAGTCACCAGTGACCAACAGAAAAATCTGGACCTTGCATCCTTTTCTAAAGCACTTCTTTAGCTGCTGCCAGATATGCCCTTGAGTTGTTCACCCTATTAAAGATGGTACATTTGAGACATCTGAGTTTTAATTTACAACTTATATATATATATATGTATAAACAGTGCCCAATGCAGCTGTTACGGCAACAGCACAGGCTACAAGTTTAAATACTGTCTTAGTTTAAGAGTTTCCTGGTCCAAGGGGCTGCCGCTGGAATTGCCTGCAGTGTCCCAGTTCCTATGTACTGGTGCAGATGATCACTCAGCGAGTGACAAGGCTGAGCTGTACAGAGCAACACCTCTCTGGCACAGCCAAAGGATTAGTGCAGGGGGCTCGTAGTGAAGTGTAGAGCCTTGCTAAGGAAGCACAAGGGTACAATTCATTAACTAGTTGCACTCTGAAACAATTTTTATACAAATGAAACTCTGGAGCTGGCATAGCTGCAGAGCCCTTCTCAGCCACAGGACTTAGAGGAGTGATAGTGTTTCCTTCTTGGTCCGTGCTGTGGATTACCCTACAGTGAAAACAGGAGTTGTGAGTGCTCAGATTTGTGCTGGGTGTCATTAGCATTTCTGCAAATCCTCAGAATGATACTTTGAAACTTTTTCCAAGACAACCCCTGGCCTCTGGCTGACCCAGTAAGTGCATGACAAAATTGCAATATTCCATCTGTGCTGCCCCAGCTGTCATGGTGCAGAGTGAATTTCAAGACAAGTCTGCGATGTGCTAAATCCTTCTTGGAACTTCTGCATGAGGCTGCTAAAACTGGGATTGGTCTGTCCCTAGTGCAGCCCTTGTACCACAGGGAGGAAAAAAAAACAATCTCCATTTAGGCAAAGTGTGCAAAAAACAGATCTTTCCCTTCTGTCTGCTGCCCTGAAGCTGATTGGTAAAACGGCAAGTTACTGGAGACAGGATTGTGGATGGATTGGTCCAAGTCAGAGTCATTTAGCTCCTTCAGGTACTACAGCTTTGACCCTCACAGGGCAGAAAGTCTCTTTCCTGGCTCCTCCGTGTCTCATGCTCCAAGTAGATGGTGCAGTCAGTTGCTAGATACTACTTCTCAAAGACATAAATGTTAAGAGTCAAGTTACATGCTCAGATCTATGGAACAAAATGAATCTATGTCTTTCCAGTCCACTGTGTGATTAGGGAGCTTGAATGTTTGTTTAGTGGAGCAAAAGAGCTTGTGAGGAAAAGGGTCTCTGCTGTTTTTTCTAGCCTAGTGATTTCTGTGCAGCAGGGCCTGATCATTTTGTTGATGATAAATATTCCTCTAGTGTTCACACCTGAGGCCTGAGCACATGACACGTGCACAGTAACTCCACAGAAGTGGAAGGTGCTGTCATTGGGAGTGTGGCCCTCGGGCAGGCAGCTGGGTAGGAGGCAGCTGCAGAAGGGGTGCTGTGAGAGGCGGGCTTCCCCTGCATCCTGTGACCTGCTGGGCACCTTGCATGAGCCCAAAGGCAAAGGGAGATCCTGTGGTTTTGTTTTGGTTATTTTTTCAGAAGTCCACCCCAGACTCTTTTTCACATCTTTGGGAAGCTCTGACTGCATCAGCTGGAGCATTATTTGTACCAGAGTCACTGCTGCTTGCAAGAAAAAAGGATTCATGTGTCACCATGAATCAGCAAATGAACTTCTTTTGTTCAGTATTCTCCTTCTCATGTGTTGTGGGAAGGTAAGAAATGGACAGCTTAGTGTTGTCTCCCAGGAGCACTGAATGAACTGCCTCCAGTTGTGCAGTGCTTCAAATACTGTGAAGGAAGTTATTTCCAGAAGGCAAGACCCGACAGGTGTGGGACAGTCAGAAGCCAAGTGCTGCACTGGGGAGCATGAGAGCTGCTCATTGCCTGAGCCAAAATCAGCCCCAGAGCAGGGGAATGTGTGGAATGTGGAAGTGCAGGGAGAGCTGGCCTTGTCCTGGCTGTAAGGGGAGACCCCGACTGTAACATTAGAGCATGTTTCGGAGCTTTGGCCAACACCAGCTGAATATCTTAATAGTTTTCTCATGGAGTTAGTCCTGGCTGTTTAGACAGACTGCCCAGGTTGAGGCATCTAAAGAAGAATTGCTAGTGTTTAATGGCTCTGGGATACAGGAACTGAAACCAAAACTCAGAAAGCAGCATGTGAGAAACTTGATGAGAAATATTACTCTATGAGAGTTGCACAGAAGCAGGAGTGCTGGGAAGGCTGTGAAGTTATGGGAAGGAGGACAGTGCAATCGGTACAGCAGAGTTCTCTTGCAAGCCAGCTCTTCTCCCCACAGACAACTACACGAGGGAATAACTGCTGAGCGCCTCTCACTATTGAAACGCAGCTCCTGCAACCCAAGGGCAATGCCAAGGCAGGTTGCATTGTAAAAAAGGCAAGAAGAAAAGTCAGGTCGTGGGAATATGCTGAAAGGACCCCTTTTTCAGACTGCGGATGATTGTTTCTGCTACCCAAACATACTTTATAGTTGCCCATATCTTTTCAAAGGCTGTAAAGTATCTGTTATTTTACTGGCTGAAATACTGAGACCAGCAACTCAAGTAGCTTATATGGCATGTGATGCTGCCCTGGCAACAGAGCTCAGCTGTTGTGCATTTGGCCTCAGACTCACTCTGCCTAAGCCCTTTCCAGAGGGACCAGGGTGAGCCCTGCTGGTCACTGCTGGGCAGGTCTAACTGCTAATTGCTCGCAGAAGATCCAAAATCAAAGGGTTCGCATTGGGCTTCAGGCAGCAGTTTAGTTTCTGCAATAAAAACAATGCAGTAACAGCTAGGATTGCCAAAACAAAATGATGCTGAGGAATCTGCTTGGTGTTTCTAAGCTCTTCCTGGTGGTTTTTTTAAGCAGCAGTGACCCTTCCACAACCTGTTTGGAGAAGCCCATGTCCACATGTTTGCAAGTCCATCCCAGTGCTCCAGGGAATGCACTGATGTGAGGCCAGATTTAGCACAGGGGTTCAGTTCGCTCCTGATAAAGCCAAAGGACAGTGTCTACAAGAGTGGGCTCCTACAGCATGAGCAGTATTAGACTGGCCTGCCTGGGAGCTTGCTGAGAAGGGGTTCAGGGCAGTAGCTTCAGCTGTCACGGAGGTTATTCTGCTAGTGATTTATCTGCACCCAAATTTGGCTGTTAAACCAGCCTGGCTCTGTGACTGTCTGCTCACCATCCCTTGTAGAGGTGGAGGAAAAAAAGAGGGGGTTGCAGGGAGAAGGAAATACCCTTACAACAAGTGCTACAAGGGGCAAGAAGGAATCCACCATGGAAAGATTTCTAAGTCAGCAAGCTCAGTCAAGTAATCAGATAGAGGAAATATAATCAGCTAAACTGCTTCCTTTTCAAGCAGTTGCTTGTTTTGTCATACGGGTGCTCTGAACAAAGTCTCTGCTGAGGCAAAGTGCTCTGTGCAGTTGCAATCCCTGTTCATTCACATCCTTAGCAGTAAAGGCACCCTGGAGATGGTTACTATACTGAGTCACTCTTTCAAGTGCCCACCAGCTTTTCACATTTCTGAGCTTGGTGGAAGAGTAACAGTGTCCTAGGTCCTGCCTGGCCATAGCAGGGGACTCTGTGCAGTCTCTGTGTTCCTGGGAGCAGTTACAATGGCTGAGGGAATTATGTGATTCACTGAGAACAGTCCCAGTTGACTTGCGGAATGTGGAAAGCTCTGGCATAACAATGGCACTTACCCTTTTCCTTGATGGGTAAACAGATCCCACCTTCAACATCGTGTTTGTATCATCCAGGAAATTACTGTTCACCAGGTTTCAGCCCAAGGGTGACACAAGTTAGAATCTCATTTAAGTATCTGTACCTAGACATCCTGCTTCACTAAACATCCGAGTGACTGAAGCCAGACAAAGCAAGGCTGTGCTTTGTGCAAAAATGTCCAAGTCTTAGTTTCTCCATGTTGTCATTTGCATAATTCCTCCCACACACACACTTTCACCATTCAGCAAACTGTAAGATTTCTCTTTCCTCAAATAGCATCTTTTCTTGCTCTAATACTGCTAAAGCCTTATTTCTGCTGCAAGAAATGCTCCAAAGCCTCTGCAGCATTAAGAACTGGTGCTGTAACATAGCTTAGGGATCAGAGTTTCTGTTGTAATTAGATCTTTGTATCAAGTGAAGCTCCTGTGTCTGTACCCTTACATCAGCAAAAACTGCTGTTGCCAGTAAAGTCACTATGATCTGGAATTAAAGTTTAAGGCCTTGGATTGGGCTCCCATCCAAACAGTTCAGCAGTGGTGCTGTCTGCTGTGTGATTAACAGTCACATAAAAGGATGATCAGAAAGCATGAGAGATTTCTAGATTAGTCAGACGTTAACTAGGAGTGTCAGAATTAAGTCACAATTTACACACACATTTTGCAATTAGTGTTGATGGGAAAGGAAGTGAAAACAAAAAGAGCAATTAAATGTGGTTGGTTAGATTCTTCTGTTAAATGTACCCAGATGTTGTGGGGGTTTCAGCTTTTGTGTAGCTGATGTTCAGCATTTAAAGTGCAAAAAACCACCTAGGAAGACGGAGGTTGTGTTCTAAAATATCTCACTCTTCATCAAGTATTTGGATATAATCACCTGAAAAAGAGTCCTAATACTCAGTCACAACTGAGCTGCTTGGTACAAAGGAGAGAGGCCAGTAGGATATAGCAGCAAACTATCTTTCTATCTCTGTCTCTTTCTATCTCTGTATTTCCAAGGAAAAATTAAGGACTTTATTCATTTCAGGTTACAAAATAACCCCTCCAATTTCTGGGAAAGACTCTTGAATAATCACCAAGAAGACTGGTTGACTTCACGATAGGGCTTGCTAAGTAGAAATTTGAGATTATATTATATGGATAACAAGGAAGTCACAGTCAGTCAATGCCACCCAAAGAGAAAAGTTTTGAGTTACTGAAAAAAACTTTAATCCATAACGGTAGCCTGTTCTCCCACCTGCTGTTTGAGTTTTATTTTTCTCTGGCACCTGGTATCAGTAGGTTTGCCATTTGGCGATGGATCAGCTCTCTGCTGAAACTCCTCTGTTGCCTGAAGCAAGCTGGTCCCTTCTTTTAGCCCAGTTGTGATAGTGAATGTGAAAAGCCCAAGATCCTAAGTCTGGATGTTAGGGAAGGTGTATTTTTTTACTACTTGGTTCTGCTGCAGGTTCTGCAACTAGTTTGTGTTAGAGATGCTGCTAAGATCTGATGATTATCATCACGTTTCTGCCAAGGCTTCTAATTAAAACTCAGGGCAACAGATGGTATGCCCAGAAACTTACAGAATTATCATGAAAATGAAAACTAGAACTAAATTTCAGAGGAACCGTGTTCCTTTCTGAAGGATGCTGAGTCCTAACTTTGCAGGGCAGCACGAGGTGCTTAGGGAGGACAAGTTGTGTTGCTACTAATTAGCTTTGCCTGTGTCCAATTACCTGAAAACAAGGTGAGGAAAGAGAGCTGGAGACTTGCAGTGGCAAGCCACCACGTCACAAACAGTTAATCAAGAACCACCCAGATGGTCTCCACAAGCCATAGAAGCAGTCCATCACTCTGACAATCCTGCACGCGTGCATGATGTCACGTTAGCACTCTGGTGCAAAAGACCAAATTCCACAGCACTGAAATAGGCCCCAGGAAAGAATAGGCTATTTGCTTCAAGCCTCTTCTCTCAGCTGGTGATAGATCCAATCTTCCTGCTTACACCACTGATCAAGGCTGAATAGGGGAAAAACTTTCATCCCTTAAAACACAAAGCCTCAAATTCACAGTGGGATGCGAAATGACACCAAGCAAGGGGAAGAGGGAATAACAGTGGCAAGACCGTCAAGAAAGTGATGCTTTCCAGTTTTTGCACCACAAGATGAAGAGGATTCAATGACATTTCTAGTATGTGTGACCCATTTGGCATTCGTGTACAAAAAAAGTTTGCATCAGCCTTTGCAACAGAAGAACAAATATCTCAGGGGTGACACAGGAGTTCATTTACACACACAGGTGCCAACTAAGCAAACGTGTACAAGCATCAGTTGAAGCGGGGCTTGCATTAGAACATGAGGAACCCTTTTCCCCCACCTGCAAATGCTCAGATGCTCCGCCCATGCCTGGGTAGAGCTGAGTACAGCTGCAGAGAGTTACACAAATGAGGAACTGCAGAACCTGGGCTGCTGATCTTGAGTGTTGGCAGATGTTACCGAAGTAGCCCTGCCTGTATGCTCAGAAACAGATTTAAATCCATTTCACTCACATCCACAATTCAAAATTACCCCCAAAGAAGAAAATTAAATTGTAGCAGCAGGCTGCAGCTTCTTTTTTCATCTGCTCTCCAACCTGGCTTTTCACACCCAAATCAGCTGTCAGCACAAGTGTCATGACCTGGATTCAAAGATGCTTTTTAAACCTCTGATTACATGGCCTACTTTCTGGCTATGAAATGAGGCCAGGTGGATGCTATTTTAAAAGCCTTCTAAAGACCATGGCTAAAATAGCTGACAACATTACCGAACCACTGGGGCTTAAAGGGTTTCACAGGGCCTCTGTGTCTGAGAGAAGTGCTGGCTTTATCTCTGTGTTTTGCATTTCATTTGTTTCATTTACTAACAGGACTTTAGGAATCCTAAGGGTTGTGCCCCTCCCCTTATCATCCCCAGGCAATTCCTCTCCCACTGTTTGTGTGGAATCTCTAGCCTTTGTAACAGACAAGTCTGTCACTAACACCACACCCTGCCTTTCCTCTATCGTCCTATACTGAAGAAGCTACAAGCGATATCCAAGTACCCCTAAGACCACAGCAAACTGAGGAGAGATGCTGGAGGAGAACAAGGACAGCAGGACTCTCATGGAACTGTCCCCTGCAGCAGCTACATTTGAAGCATAAGGTCTTGGTTTGTTTAGTACCAGTACAACTCCTTTCCTTTTCTGCTTTCCTTAAATTGTTTCTCAACCCTGTTGCTCTCTCCTTCAGGACATACTCCTGTTTCCAAGTGCCTGCCCACATGAGAGCTGAAGCAATAGCTGGCTTTTCCCCCCTAAATACAAGTAATGCTTCCCATTAAAAGATTTGCTGGACTGCTCCGCAAGTCTGCCACAGAGCATTTGATCTGCTGCAGAGCTAACTGTGCCAGCAGCCTCTGAAGCTGGCAAAGAAGTAAGGGTGGTAGGTACAAGGTATTATCCCTCTCTTTTTGCAGTTTAAAAAAATTTATATATCAAGTCTAGAATTAATAGATATATTTATGTGCTTCTCAAAAAGGTTTCTGGGGTGGGGAAAAAAAATCAAGTTTTCCACTATCCAGGTTTACAACTAAGCCCTTGCAGAATCACACCTTTCCCTGATTCTGCAATGAGCCCAGCTGACCTTGTGTTCATCCTGGCTGAAAATGATCAAATTAAATGAGATTTAAAGATTTGTGCTTTTATGCTTAATAGTTTTAGTGGTAGCAGATTGGGCTGAGTGTATAATGTGCACTTTCTTTCTGATGATGTATCTTTCAGAAGTGTGGAAAGGAAAAGTCTAGCAAATCCAAATTCTACTAGTCAAATTGTATAAGTGGCTTTCTGTTCTGAGGGGGGAAAAACGGTATGGTGGCTAATACCAGAGAAAGACCATTATGAGTGCAGTTGCAGGTCACTGACTTTACTATGAAGAGTCTTAGTAAATGCGCCTGAATCCACTTTTCTTACACCAGCCTGAGCTATGACACAGTATTTATTCTGGGGCTGCAAAATGTTAAATTTTCCAGGCTTGGCTTTCCGTGGAGTCTGTGGAGGTTGTCCCCGAGGGAGCTAAAGAATTAGCTTACCTCTTTGCCAGCTTGGCTGCATCTGCTGCAGCACTTCCGTTGACTAGAAGGGACACGTTAGATATCGCACCGGCCAGGAAACAGTCCACGATGCCTTGGTTTCTCCGAGGACAATAGCCAAAGTCATCTCCAGTTATTATTAGCTTCACCTGAAGCATCCTTAGATGTCATCTCTAGCAAAAAAAGTAAAGGAGGTTAAATCGGAACACTCGGCCGTCTGCAGATCACAGGCAAACAGGAAAAGACAAGCTCACCGGGGGCGAACCCAATGGTGACTCAGCCCCTGACTAACTCCTCCTGCTCCACCTTAGCCCGCCGCTGGCTGGCAGCGCAGTGGCCGGATCTGCGTGTGGCCGCCGGGCTCACACCAGCCCTGCCCTCCCTTGCGGGAGGAAAGCCTTGCCTGCACTTTGTACCGCCGGGGATGAGGAGCGTGCGATAGGTCAGGGACGCGGTGGGATGATTTTATCGACCGACGGCGCCTTAGGGGTTCAAATTCCGTTCCTTGGGCACACCCCCGTCCCCGGTGCGCAGTGAAATGGCCACGGGTGCGGATCACCTGAGGCCACCCCGCAGCCGTGACGTCCTCGCCGCTACCGATCCCCACCTACGGGCTGTGTCCCCGGGGAGAGCGGAGCGGCCTCGGGCGGCCTGGGCCCTACCTCCCGCCGCGCCGGGGGCACCGAGGTCCCCTGGCCCCCTCCCGCCCCCGGGGTGGCGCGTACCTCCGCTGCAGCCCGGTCCCAGGGCCGCTGCCAGCTGTGCCGCCGCCAACTGTGCCCGCCCGCCCCGCCGCGCATCCCCGCGGCAGCCCCAACCCGGAGCTCCCCCGCGGAGAGGCGAGCGCGGGGCGGCCCCGCCGCAGCGCCAGCGCCTGCGAGCGCGCCGAGCACCGAGGTTCCCCCCGCCGGCGGCCTCTGGCGGCGGCGGCACGGCACGGCAGGGCACGGTATGGCTGCAGTCGGGCTGCCGCAGGACCCGTGCCCGGGGTGCTCTTCCGCAGGGCCAGGGGTCGCCCCGTGCCGCTCTCTGTGCCGCCAGCTCTCTTGGCAGCGCAGGGTTCGGACGTCTCTCCCCACAGAGTGTGTCAAGTTGGAAGGGACCAGAGAGGGTCGTCCGGTCCAACCTCCCCACTTAAGCAGGGTCATCCCAGAGCACAAGGCGCACAGTTGCATCCAGATGGTTCTTGCGTATCTCCAGAGAGGAAGACTCCACACCCTCTCAGGTCAACCTGTTCCATTGTGTGATCATTCACACAGTAAAGAAGTTCTTCCTCATGTTTAGGTGGATGAGCACTGTTGCTATAACAGATGAAGTCAGCAAAACTCTGAAGGTATGTCTTGAATCAAATATAAGTTCCTCCTGCCTTTGCAGATACAAACTCTGGGGTTTTCTACCTCTTTCTAGTACTGCCAGTGCTCCCTGCCCCTGCACAGGTGAGAGGCGCTACATAAGAATCTTAGACAAAGCTTGGCTTCTCAGCCTTCTTAACCTTAGTGTGTGTTTAATGCTATTAATGGTAACATCCTTCTTAAATATTTAATGCAGTTCCTGGAGGATTTCCTTTTCTGATTTCATTCCTGTTTATCCAGCTGTCCTTCCACTGACTGGAAGCAAACACTCCTCAGCAAGCAAATCTTGCCCCTGTGCCATTGCCCCTTAGATACCAGCACAGCATTTCCCCTGCAGCCTACGTACTCCAGCTACTGCCAAAACAGCCCTTGCAGCTGATCGCCACATAGTGCATTAAAAAGTCTCTTACAAATTCAGCCTGGAGCTGGAAGGCAAGGCAGACTTCCTCTGGCTTTTCTCTCCTTTGCAATTAAAACAAGGATATTAGCCTGCATTTCCAGTAGAGCTGTATAAGCCAGGACGTGTACTAAGCATAGACTGCATCTCCCAGCCTAACTAAAACAAAACACAGTCTTACTTCATCTTAGTCACAGAAGCCAGCGGAAGCTCTATCTTCAAGTGCTTCACTACTTTTAAGCTTGAATTTCTTTCCCTGAACTTGGAGTTATTCAGTAGCAAATTTAGAGGTTTCCTGTATTTTACTAAAGCGTTCCCCAACAATTACTGCTTCCAACAAGCTGTCTGTTTACATAAAGGATGTGTTTTCTTTTTCTGCAGCGAATTAGTTCATTTGGGACTACAATGGTAGCATAGTAGGACTTGTTTTGCTTTTTCCTTGCATGAAATTTTGTTGAAAGTGTGAACTGTAAAAGGCGTTTGAATGAGACAAAGTAAAATCCGATTTTTAAATGAAAGAATTTAAACATTTTCTTCTTTTCCCTAGCCTCAGAGATTTACAAAATCTTTGAAGTTCAGTGGCTTCTATAGAAATGTTTAAATTAAAGCTTTTTCATCCCTCTACTGAGGTCGGTTTTCAGATGAAATGAGACTTGTGTTCATGCTGTCAGTGCCCATCTCTGTCTCCTCTTGGTAGCAGTGGCATCCCTTGGCCAATTCCAACTCCTCTGCAGCAGAGGCAGAGATCCTGCGACAGGCCGTCGCATTCCCCAAAATGATCAGGTACAAAACCAACTGGTCAGTTGGCCAGGGCAGGAGATGGAGGGCACTGTGGTGATGTGTAGGGCATAAAGGAGAAGAAAAGGAGTGGACTTTGGCAGAGATTGAGCTAAGTGACGCACAGTGCTGTAGGGGCATGTATCCATTTTGGAAACTATGTGGTTTCCAGCCTCTGAGCTGAGCCACCCTGAATCAAAGTAATGAAACGTAACTGCAAGGAGAACTGGGCTGCAGTGTGCAGATTTCCTAAAATGCACAGATGTGATGAGCCCTGGGTGAGAAAAAGTGATTCTCCGCCTGTACTCGGCACTGGTGAGGCCAAAGCTTAAATCCTGTGTCCAGTTCTGAGCCCCTCAGTTCAGGAAAGACATTGAGATGGTAGAGCAAGTCCAGAGAAGGGCAACGGAGCTGCCTCCAACTGTGCAGTCCAGGAGTTCACAGTGTCAGGGCATGCCAAGTGGATTGGTAGCCCAAGCTCTCAAAGGGCAGAGGATGTAGGTTCTGCCCAAAATCACTCTGCTGAACCCTGGGAGATGAAAGCAGCAAAGAGCATTGCAGTGAATTGATTCAAGGCTAATTGTATAATGCTGAATAAACACACTAAAAATCTTGTGGTTACTCTCCTTACTTGTGACTTGGAATCCACTGCATATATGGGCTTCCTCTATCTTGCATCCATGAGGGTTTAAATTCCCAAATTCTGGTGTACATCTGCTAAGACTGTAGCTAAGGCTGCCCTCATACCACATAGCACAGCCAGGCAGTACCTGTCACCTTTCCTTGCCTTTGTCTGAAATTCCTGATTTTACATCATCACAAAATAATGCCAATACCTTACAAGGAGTGTGGTCCTACCAAGGTGGCTGAAAGTGAAAGGCAAAATTTGCCATCATGATCTTATTATTAACTAACTTGACACTTGGCATTAAACTATGGATGACTGTTAAAAGTACCAAACTCAAACTGCTCCTGATGCAGACAGAAGGTCCCAGGTCTATGTATTGCTCATGGCTGGTGAATTTTAGTCCACTCTTCCATTTTCAGAGAGTTATTTTCTCTCTGCTGCATTTCCTTCAGTGTCTAATGTGCAGTAAAAATTAAATTTGAACATGAACTAAGCTACAGCATCTGTGATTTGACTGGGGTTGAGACAATGTAAAGCCTGCACATTCCTATTCCAGATGCCTCTTTGCCTGATGTTGAGGTCTATTAAATATACAGACATCTGCTCAAAAAAGAGTTGGGACAGGGAACCCTTCTACTAGACAATTAAATGATGGGTCCAAAATAGGTACTGTTTAACTGTGTGCATTAATAGCTTAACCTACACTTTCTGATTCCATTTACTGTTTGATTGCATTGAAACTCAGGACTTGGGTTTGCCCTCTCTGAAAGTTATTATACTATCTGGAGTTCATTTCTTGGTATTTATGATAAAGGTTCCCAGAGGAAATTATCTCTAGGCAGAATAACACTTTCATTGAGGTCAGAAAGGGGCAGGTTATATAAAAGATGCATAGATGTTCAGTGGAATTTTCAGAATTACATTAATATTTACCTAAGATTGAAACAGATGTCTAGAGGTTTTTCAAATCCCATAAAGAACTAAATTATTGTAAAAGCTGCATGATGTAACACACATTGCATTTTTACATGCTGGTTCTAAAATGGAAATTGAGTAATCAAAACCACAATTCCAATCCATGACAAAAAATTCTAAATAACTTCCTCAGCTTCAATTTACACTGTTTAAAGCAGAGCGGAGTTAAGCCTGAAACTGGTTTTCACAAATGTTGATCAAGAGCCACTGAAATGAATTAAAGATACCAGAGGCAGGTCCTCCTGATAAGGAAAAAAAAAGAAGAAAAACCTATATTTTATATATAAAGTATTAATGCATAAAATTTTTAATCATTTCTTGGGGTGTTTTGGTTTGGTTTTTTGTATGGTTTGGGTTGGGGGTTTTTTCCAGTGGCTGGGAAAACCACAACCTCTACTTCTAAGCACTCTGATTCCTAAAGGGATGGAGTGAGGAAGGAAAAAAAATTAAGTTAGGAGCGTACAGGCTTTTCAGAAGTCATGAGAAGACTGTTGAATCTCCTGTTGAAATTGCAGTCAGACACACTTTTATCTGTGAAAAAGTACTTTCAGATTATCTTTCGTTTATGTTTGTTTCTGTTATAAAGGTACACCTTGAGATGATGTTTGGCTTCAATGGCAACGGCATGAGACCATCAGCACAAAGTAAGAAAATCTGAAGAGTTCTCACGAACCTCAGAAGTTTACATCAGAAGTGGGAGACAAATAGATTTTTGCCTAATCAGAAAATGAGTATTAGCAAAGTGGAATTAATCAAGAAACACATTAGCCAAAATATCTCTACCAAAAAACAGAACCAATGTCTTCAAAAGTCCCAGAACTCTACCATGAGAGTAGAAGACTCAGTGAAGCATGAACCATGTCATCTCAAAAGAATTCCTTCTCCAGAAAAGCTGGTGCTACCAATGAAAGCACTGGGAATGCCTCCGCAATGTAACACGTAAATTAATCTGGAAGATCACTTACAGGACTTGTTGTCGTCTCCCAGCATCACTGAAAGCACCTGGAAAACCTCAGCTGATTGAATGGAAATGCACATTAAAAATTCCTTTGGAGTTCTCAGGGGAGATCCTATGCTCTTGAAGCATCAGTCAAGTTCGTTTAGAGATGGTGACATTACTGGACACAGATTGCCAGGACTCTGAAGAACTTTCAAGAAAATTTTCTCTACCTCAAAGACTAGAAATAAAAAACAGAGATTAAAAAATCCTCAACTCCTCTCCCCCAGATGAAAAAATCTTTAATTGCACATACGTATATGTTAATACTTCTTTTTTTTTTTCCAAAAATCTTCTATTTAGTTACTCTGCTTGTTCTTACATTATATCTACTGAATGCAAAAATCTGAACAAGTTATTTTTGATATCTAGTCCTTGGACAACTTATGCTGAGTGATAAGGAACTGTAATTCTATAAATTTCTGGCAAGCAATTTTTTTATTTACTGTTCACTAGTTGTATCAGGCTTAGGGGTCACAGTTAAAAGAGTTCTATTGTAAGGTATTCCAGTGGAGATGAATGTTTGATCTGAAGTGAGGTTTACAAACAGCTGTTCATCAGTGTGGAGTGAAAGAAGGAGACAGAAGAAAAACACAGAATGTTTACTGTTACTGCCTTCAGTTCAGTACAGTTCATCCTTATTGCTATCAGAGAAAGGACCAGATGGAGAGAAAAATCAGTGGAAGAGCTCATGTGGACTTGTCTTTGTATCAAGTACTAATGTCTGTAGAATTGTGCCCTGTCTTTTTTGCCTACGGTTCATGTCAGTCTGAGAAAGAATCCAGGTGTTACTGCAGTTTTTTCTCTAAATCAAAGGCTGTCTATACCATTAGATGCATCAGTGCTTTTTGGGGTGCAGATCAAGCCCAGGAGCTGCCAGCTCTGCCATCTTAGTTGTCAGTCACTGTTTCTGTCATGCAAAGCAAACAGAAAGTTTAAAGCATCCGTAAGAAAGGCCAATATAAAAAGGAAAACCCTGTTTTCTATAATCTGTTGCATTGGGGCAGCATACTCTGAAATTTTCTTGCGACAGATTTTTCATTCCTGTATGCTAAAAGCATCTGGCAGCACCAAATCCTGTTTTTCAGGGAGGGCCATGTTATACCTACAGCTGCACCTGAGTAGAAATGGCAAACATTTTCAAAATCCTTGAAAATCAAATGTGCATAAGGACTGCAGAGTTTAGTGACTGAAGGCAGAAGGTTTTCTAATTACATTTTGCATTCTCCCCCTTTTGCAGCACTGTTGAATTATTTTGCTCATAATGAGATTCCTATCAAAAAAGCTGATATTTCCATGACCAGTATGCAGTCACATAATTTCTGAGGCAATTTTACCTATATCTTACAGCAATCTACTGGAAACAATAGTGGGCCCTGTCACAATGAGGTGGTTGTTAATTGCTGTGGGTGTTTGGCATTGACGGGTTCTTTGTTGGCAACCGTTCTAACCCAATTATGTTTCTAAAGTAGGACTGAAAAGCATTGTAGGGAGCACCATGTAAATGGCACTAAATGCACCGAGACTGAGCGACCTCCCAGAAAGACAGGTACCAGCTAAAGCCCCATATGATTGATTTGCCATGGCTAAAATGGCAACCACAGACATCTGAGTTTGCTCCACTTATAACAAGAGCAGCAAATGTGAGCTGTTGTCTTAGTTGGAACAGCAAGGCCACTTAGAATGACATAAAAATATGGCATTTGAATATCAACATGGGATCTTTTGCTTTTCTGTGAGTAAACTTTTATACTTCCAGCACCAGGAAATGAGTTTTCAGGCCTGAGAAAAGTACTAGGGCTTGTTTTAAAGCAGACCTGGCATTTAAGTCAGAGATTTTTCTGAGATGTAGGTATAGCTAAAAAAATGGTACAAAGCCAGCGTAAAGAAAACTAACCATTCAGTTGAGTGGTATCACATGGATTGGAAAAAACCTTTCAGCTCCAAGACTGGTGGAAGAGGGAGAGAGTCAGCTGAGCATCTTATGATGTTTGCACTAACCAGCAACACTAATGCACTTTCTAAATCATCCTGCAACAGAAAGTGTAGTGTTTCAATTCTTTGTTGTTGCAGGCCCATAATACCACTGTTACCAAGACTTAAGTCCTAAGGCAGGCACCCGTCTACCTGTTCCCTTGCCACTAAGAGGATCGAAAACTTTTGCTCTGTTAAATTACTTTGTATTCCTCAGTGTTATGCGGGACTCACACCAGGCTCTGATGGGATACATGAGTCATTCCAATGAGCAGTTTCAGAGGCAAAAGCTAACAAACTATGGAGGAGTTCATGTGTCCTTTGTCCATGGCTACTTCCTATTGAAATTTTTTGGGGGGAGGGGACGGGGGGGCAGGGGCGGCAATATTTATTCAGTTTGCAAAACTATGCAATGCAGGGCAGTATGTATGTTGATTTATGCAGATGTTTTTTCTACAGAAGAGACTTTAATAATCTCTTTTTTAGAAGAACTCCACAAGAGACTGAAGCACAGAAGGTGAACTTCAGGATCCAAAAGCAAAGATATTATTGCTACAACTTAATGTTGCAGCAACCAATATTAGTTCTTCTTTGAGTAGTGTTTATGCCCTATCATCAGAAGCTCAAATACAATCCAGGAATTACTGGATCAATGATGTATTATCATGCAAGTCAATTCACAAACACGAATCCCCTGTTTTTCAACACTATCTTACTTTTCTCTGCAAATCTCCCAAATGGGTATTTACTCAACTTTAAGAGCAGGAACTCTAGGGAGGAGCAGTCCTAAATGTGCCACCTACTGGCTTGAACGCAGTAGCACAGGCTGATTGACCTCTTGGTGCCACCTCTGGCTGCCCAAGGCTGTATCTAAACCATTACCTATACTTGGGCTGGTGACCCCCAAGCAGCTTTATGCCTGACAGTGCTCTCGCTGTGAGGATATTTTTCTTCTCCTGGCTCTGATGCTAATTGGACAGTCCTCCTTGCAGCAGGTTTTTCCGCAAGGCCTTTGAGCAACCAGTCAGTGTGACCTGGCTATAATTTTTCATACAGCCCAGAGCGGACAGCAGGAACAGACCTGGCCTCTCCTCCTACGTTCTCGGCAAGGGCAAACTCACAGTGAGAGCAGCACAGCCGTATCAGCAATGCCCCGGCGGTGCCACCCCTCCGGGCCGCCCGTCCCGAGGGGGTTCTGAGGGAGCAGCGCCCGCGGTTCTCCTTCGCGTCCTCCCCCGGGAACCGCCACGCCGAGGGCTCTCATTGGCCGCTCTTCCCCGTGCCCGTTAGCCGTAGCCCAATCCGAGAGCACGGAGGAGCGGGAATCAGGCGGGGATTGGCTGATCGCGGCGGTGGGTGGGGTGATCCCTGGGCCCGCGCGGGCGTGCGGAAGCGGCGCTCTGAGGGGGCGCCGGTGCTGGAACCGGCCGGGCCGAGAGTTGAGAGCGGCGGGACCGGCCGGGCCGAGGGGTTGGCGGTTGTGGTTGCGGTGCCGGCTAGGCTGAGGGCGCGATGCGGGGCGGTCGCCATCTCTTTCCGCTGGTGCTCCTGACGCTGCTGCGCGGGCTGTGCCACGGCAGGGAGCCGTCGCCCGGCACCGTGACCTGCGGCTCGGTGCTGAAGCTGCTCAACACCCGCCACAGCGTGCGGCTTCACTCGCACGAGGTCAAGTATGGCTCCGGTGAGCAGGGCCGGGCCGGGAGGTGTCGGGAGCTGGGAGGTTTTGGGGCCATAGGCTGTGGGGGGCTGGGAAAATGGCTGAGGGCAAGGAGGTGTCTGTGAGGGGGGCAAGGAGATGGGGGAGACAGGGAATGCCTGGCAGAGGATTGGCAGGGAAATTGCGGGGGATGGGCAGTGAGGGTAGCAGGGAAGGAGTTGGAGGTGAAGAGCTTCCAGAGGTTCATGTCCTTGGGGGAAGCAGCAGACCAGGGAGGCAGTGTTGGGGTGCGCTGGAGACCTGTCAGGGACAGCAGGATGCTGAGGCCTGGGGTGTAGGACCTGTCAGCTGCGCTGTGTGTGCCCTGCAGTCGGGATGTGACAGGGGTGCTTTGCCCCCATTTCTGAGGGGAGCCCTGCTCTGTGTCAAGGGCCTCATCAGGACCTTCCCGTGTCTGTTTTGGCAACAAGGGTGCTGGTCTGTTTGGGGACACGAAGAACTTGATATTTTTTTGAGAAAGGTGAGATGATGTGAATAGTGTCCGTCATGGATCAGTTTTTCTCCTCATGTGTTCACCATAAACTTCGACAGTTTGGATCTGCTAACACATGGTATATTTAACTCCCTCAATCTGAAAGATTATTTGGTACTTGCATTCCCTTTGCAGTCAGTAAATGGACTATGAGAATTAAACATTTCTTATACATGAAGACATGAGAACATTAAAGAAAATTTCTTTAGTTCTTCCAAAACTTTCTGAACTTGGGAAGTGGGTTAAGTCTCCTGCCATTTAATTCTACTTCAACAGGAAGTGGGCAGCAGTCAGTGACAGGAGTTGAAGCTTCAGATGATGCCAACAGTTACTGGCGGATCCGTGGGAAGAGTGATGGCAGTTGCCAGCGTGGTACACCGGTGAAATGTGGGCAAGCAATACGACTGACCCACGTTAACACAGGGAAAAACCTGCACACTCATCACTTCCCGTCGCCACTCTCCAATAACCAGGTGAGTTATAAACTTTAATTTTTTTTTAAATAGTGCAGTGTATGTCAACAATCTCTCCAGTTCCTCATGTTTTTGGAGAACCAAGCTTAGGTGCCAGCTGCCAGAAGCAGTATGTTTATGCATATCTAGAGTTCGAGTACGTGCTTTTCTTCATCTTGAAATATGTATTTCAGTTCTTCAGGTCAAATTTAATATGTACCAATATTGGTATTTCACAGTAGTTTTAACAAATCGTGGTAGGGGTTTGGGGGGTTATGTTTTGGTTTGGGGGTTTTTGTTTGTTTGTTTCTTTGTTTGTTTGTTTTAATTCTGCACCATTGCTACTGGGACCATTCTGAAATGTTTATTGTTTTCAAGGTGCAGGAGACTGGGCACCTCCCCCAACACAGTGAATATTGCTCTAGAGCAAGGCAGCTAACCATGTGTTATAACACTAGGCATTCCTGTACCCAAGGTCATCAAGTTCCTTGGTGATCCAATCTAGTAGTCTCAGCCATCTTCTTGTGGCCCTACTTCAGTTCACTATTTTTATATTTCTGTCCTCCTTCCACAGGAAAATTGAATCTGCTTTCATAATCGTATTTCTTTATAATTTTGTATATATCTAGAAGAGTGTAATTTCTGACTGTCATTAGGTCCCGGTCTTGTCCTTGAGCAAATGCTTCTCCAAGATTGAAAATCTGTCTTAAAATAAATTATACAAGCTTGTTGGAAGTTTGTCATTGTTAGTCGCTTCGGTCTTCCATCAGGCTTTATAGATAGGTCATTACATTCAAAATTGGAAGACCTGACTGACTCTTTGTGAAAAAGGTTTATCTTTCACCATGAGTAAAGTGGCTGAAACAATAAGGTCCAGCTTTGTGTAGGGTGTCTAGATAATCTCATTATTAAAAGAAGTGATGGAAA